ACGTATAAGGGGGGGGGGGGGGTCCGTTGGACCCCCTCTTGCCGTTTCGCCCCTGATCGAGCTAGAGCTTCGCGGAAAAAAACGAGCGTGTTGCCCGTGACGAGAAGGAGCCGATGATACCCAATTTTAAGGTTCTAGGTCATTGGTTGACCTTGCAGGTCAGGTCAATGACCCAAAAGTCGGGAAAATCGGGACCTGTTAGAACGTCGTAAAGTGTGGCTGCTAAGGGGTTTTTCGGGGTGCTGATCACGAATATCATGTTAGTTTTAATCACAGATGATGTCTTCATGCATTTAGTCCAGGTCGGGTCAGGTCAGGTCGGGTCAACCAGTTTGGGTCCTACCGGGTATTCCTAGTAGGTGTCAACCGCCTCTGACAGCTTCGTAACATGTTACGAAGGCACCAAAACGACTTCGTAAATGTTCATATGGTTGATAAATTCGAATTCAGCTCCAAAAACTGGCCTAGAAACATGTAAAACTCGAAAAAGTGAATCGAGGTCATCAAAGGTCAATGACCTGACCTGACCTTCAGGTGACCTTGACACACACCCTAATGCATGGGGGCAACACCATATCACATGTCTGAACGCTTGAAACCACGAAAAGACTGCAAACGCGCGGCTAATGCGAGCCGACATACGCCGAATCGCGATTCTGGCCAAACATGGTCTCGAAAAGTAGGTCACAGGTCAAAGGTCATTTGGGTCAGGGTCATGAAATTTTCAGGGTAGGTGTAAAATTGAATAACGCGAGGGTACTGAAAGTTTCGTCGCGATCGGCCGCTTTTTACGCGAGTTATTCGCGAAAAACCATGGGGGGGGGTCCGTTCGACCCCCCCTATACGGGCGAGGGTTAAAGATCAACGAGCGAAAGATCGTCAAGCAACCAGGTGTAGGGCATGACTTTCATCATCATCATCATCATCACGTTTATTAAGAAACAAAAGAATACACAAAATCAAGATAAGTAAGAACTGGTGCAAAAGCACTCGAAAGTGCTTAATTCGAGGCACCAGCTCTGTTAAAGAACATACAAGCAAATAAACACATACACACATATACAAGAACTTAAAATGGATTCAAACAAACTAAATCGCCGGTCGCCGCCACCAAGCCGAACGCGTCGCGCATTAGAGGTTGTCCAGAGAGCCCCGTTGCCGACGCCACCCCACCGAGACACGCCCATCCCGCCTCGTAATTAAATAGTCAGAGTGTTTTGATTGGAAAGCGCCCAGAATTAAGTAAGAACGTTTGGAAGTGTTGAGCCACCGCCCGGCCGTCGCCACTATTTAGGTTGGTGCCATGAAGAAGGATTTCCAATTTTTTATTAGTTTGGTAGTCATGAAAGTTAGAATGTAGTGTTTGCGATACTTTTTGGTAAAGGATGCGTCTTTGAGGTAAAAGCAATGGACATGCTGTGATGAAATGACGAACGCTTTCTATGCTGTGACCACAAGGGCATGCCGGAGAATCTTGTTTTTGAATGTTAAATTGTTGTGAATTTAAATCGGACATTCCATTTCTTAGTCGCGAATGTAGGATGTTGCCTGTCTTTGACCCAAACGAGTAGTATTTTGGTGGCTGGGGGGAGCCAATATGGTGTACAATGTGTTTTTTGAATTCTACTATGGATAAGGATTTAAATGTTGCCGGTAGTTCGTTGTACTCTTTGCTTGTGGTGATAAAGAATGATCGTTGATATGATGATGTTTTCGGACGATGGATCGTGTGGTCATGGGCATTTCTTAAAACCAACTGTGTGTCTGTCACCCTTGTGTTTGTTATAAGTTCTTGTATGTACTTCGGTAAAATTGGTTTCGATTTAACGAGTTTGTGATATAGTGACAATCTATGAATGCGTCTTTTTGTCGTTAGTCTGTCCCATCCTGTCTCGAGTCGTAATTTGTCGGAGGGTGTTCTAAAGAGTGCTCCTGTCGTCAGTCTAGCCGCTCTGTTTTGCAATGTCTCCAGTCGTGTCGTGTCCTGTACTGTGATATGTCCGTCGTAAACAGTGTCACAATAGTCAAAGTGTGGTCTTACATAGGTTGTATATATTTGGTGAAGGATGGGTCTTGGCAAATGTTGTGCAATAGGATACAATGGACTGAGGGATATGTTAACTTTTTTGCATATTTCGTTAATATGACAATGAAAGCGAAGATCGTCAGAGAAAATTAAACCGAGATGTTTGTGTGATTTTGCTAGTGGTATTGCTTTCCCTCCGAACGAAAGAGTCGGTGGCATTTTGGAATGTTGTCTGTGAGTGAATGTTTGTTGCACTGTTTTGTCGGCGTTGAAAGTGATAGCCCAATTTCTTCCTTATTCGAAAATAGAGTCCAGGTCTTTTTGGAGCGATTGTTCTGTTTCGCGTAAGTCAGTTTCTGAGTGTGAGGCATAAAGTGAAAAATAAAATATTGTGCTGTGTCTGCTTTGAAAGGCCGTCAAGATAGATAAGAGCTAAAAGTGGTCCGAGGACGGAGCCCTGCGGGCATCCTGCATTTATGGTCTGTGGTTCTGACAGTGTGTTGTTTATGCGTACCATTTGAATACGGTTTTTGAGATATGACTCCAACCATTCTAAAAGTTTTCCAGTTATTCCAAAATCATGTTCGCATTTGAATAACAAGCCTTTATGCCAAATTTTGTCAAAGTACTTTGCAATGTCCAAAAAGATAGCTGTGAATTGCTTTCCTGTGTCTAACGATTTATACATGTTGTTTGTTAGATAAAGAAGTTGTTGTTCAGTGCTGTGATTTTCTCTATAACCACTTTGTTTTTCCGTGAGGAGTGAGTTTTCTATAAAGTGAGAATACATTTTTCTGTAAACTATTTTTTCGAATACCTTTGAAAGAGCTGATAAGATACTAATTGGTCTATAACAAGTAAAATCTGAGGGGGATCCTTTATTCTTGTAGATAGGTGTTATGTGGGCAACTTTGAATGTTGATGGAAATTTGCCTTCTGCAAGTGATTTGTTAAATAAACGAGACAAAGGTTCTGCAATTAAAAGAGCTGTCATTTTGACTGCTGCCATCGGGCAGCTGCCAGACTTTGAGCCACGCAGTGTTAACTCCGTCTCCGGAGTCGGAGTCTGTAAGATTTTAGCGACTCCAAGTCAACTCAGACTCCGACTCCGGGCAAAATTGCCGACTCCGACCGACTCCGCAGCCCTGGTCTGAGAATCCCAAGCCCACTTCTGAGGGGTCCCTTTCCTATATGTCGTAAATTTTTGGTGCCTTGTCTATTCGCGTTTTTCAACGCTTCCCTGCACACCAAAGCTGGAGAGTGTGAACATGCACCAACTCACAGGATAAAGATTAATAACTTTCGATTTACACTTCCGACATTCACTTTCCGCCGAATGTCTACTTTATACTTTGTTACAATGAATAACTGTCATAAGCGCTATGCATTTCACGTAGAAACTCTGCACGCGTGAATGTGGGTCTTAGCAAGGCCAGTCGATTAACCCGCGCACCGACGGGGGTCTGCGCCAACTTAGAACCGACGGGGGGGGGGGCGGATGACCGCCCCCCCCCCTGAGATCTCGAGAACGAAGCAAGATAGCGACAAGCGGTAAACGGCACGGGATACGCACGGGCAAGATCTACAATTTTTACCAAGGTCATTTTCAGGTCAAGTCAAAGATGACATCACAGGGGCCAAAAAAGTCAAAATGGCGGCGCTAGCTATGGAGTTTTTCTCGAAAAACTTTCGAACTAGTCAAGATAGGAACAAACTAAGGGGATCATCGTGACTCTCTCGTCAATCCGCATCGAATGATATATATGTTGACCTCGAAAGGTCAAGGTCAACGGTTGACCTCAGGTCACGTGACCTCGAGGTCATCATGTATATCATTCGATGCGCCTTGACGAGCTGAACACAATGAGACCATTCGCGCGACTGTATCTTGTTCCTGTACGGAGTTATAGGCAAAAAACCGCTGGTGACCTTTGATGACGTCACATGACCTTACAGCTGCCCAACAGCAAAACAGACCTCAAGGTAGTGAACGTTGATCGCATATTAAGTCATGTATGGTATATGGGGCCATTCCGACCCTTTTTAGTGGTAAAAACAAGGAGTTGATTTTTCCCCCATTGACTTATAATGGGGAGGTCGAGAAATTGACCTGACCTTAGGTCATCGATATCAAAATTCCGAGATATACAAATTGTAGCTACTAATGACCTTATAACATCCTGCGACTTTCAAAGGCCTCCGACATCTACTGTAGCTCTGGCATGGTGACAAAGTTGCAAAAAAGTGACTTGAGGTTGGGTCATTCAAAGTGACCTGGTGACCTGACCTTAAAATTTAGGAGGTTCAGACTTGCACACCATGTTTAAAATTGATGAGAGAATAGTCGTGCCAAATTTCGCGGCGGGGCGGATATCCCCCCCCCCCGTCGGTGTGCGGGTTAACTGGAGCGCTTTCAACCTTTTCTGGGTGAGCATTATGAGCGGCTGCACCTTGTGAGAGGGGTCGGCCACCGCACCCACTGAGCACTCCTCACTAAAAAATATCTACCCTGGTCAGTGCTAACACGGACGTAAGGTCAGTCAGTGGCGGATCCAGGGGGGGGGCAAAATGGGCATTTGCCCCCCCCCCCCAAACGGCATGATTTTAACATTACGCCTATGGACGATGCATGGAAAGAATCGATAAATTTCTATGGTTTGCCCCCCAAAAAACTCTGAGCTGGATCCGCCTCTGAGGTCAGTCGATTATATCGCAGTTGTTTTTACCAAAAATAATTGTTTACGTGTCATAGCTAGAGGAAACACCTTGTCGCCAATGCCATCCCATTCCTCGCACCATGGCGCGTCTAATGATGCATATACAAAACGAGTGAGTAACGACTGTAAAAGGCAAGGTTTTCGCCAAAACTGATTTTGTCCCCCCCCCCCCTCCTCCTCCTGCCAACCAGTCTCTGGCGACGCCTATGATGATAGCGCTTCGTTTTGCGCAAATGATATGCGAAATAACATCAGACTGACCTAAAAAGCGAATCTTATATTCATCACCATGCACAGAAAGTGATCATTGTACACGATTTGTTACCAACAATCATACGTCAAGGAAAATAACAAATAATGACCTACTGTTCCGGGTCTGCAGCAGCGGTGGCACCAGCAACACGGGCCCATCTCCGTGGCGTTAACTGGGGCAGTCGCGAGGTCCGGGAGCCGCCGCCGCTGGCGCCGCCGGCAACCGTCATACGTAGCCGTACTTGTGGCGCTCCAGGTACGCGCGGCGAATATCGTCGCTGTTGCGCCGCACCCGTCGGCCGATCGGCTCCAGGTCGCCGTAGCACTGCGGAAACACGAGGTCCACGATGCGCACTGCCTCCCGCTTGCTGATGCCGCGCGCCGCCACCAGTGAGCAGGCCGCCTTGTTCTTCACGCACTCCTGCCAACCGAAAGACGACACGTGACCCGCACATTCGACAGAGCGTCTTCGACGACAGCGGCACTCGCCCAGAGTACTGAATGTTGTCATCACTTTGAGACACACTCACGAAAACTCTAGAGGTCGAAAACGTAAACTTTCTTTAAACTTTAAAATTTAACTCTTGAGAATAAAACTCGTGTTTTATTTATTTTGTTCACGCGGGCAAATGACAAACGAAAGACATTTTATCACCAAGATAAAACTTGATTCCTCTAAGACCTTTTTTGTCAATTTTTCGGGTACATAATTTCTATTTTCTACATTGAAATCGACGTTGCAATTAGTATTATGAAAACTGCCCATTGCGCGGGAAATAAATACGCCCACTATCGAGCGGAGAGCGCAAAAGGCTTTACATATGAGCGAGGTTTGTAATCTAATGGCACTACCTGGTGTGTCCGCTTGATGTTGATGGGACTGGAGTCGCCTTGCATGATTGAGCTAATGTAGCTGCAGTGAGTCAGGTTCGCTGCACGAATCTCCGTGCAGGCCAAGTGCTCCAGATTCGCGAAATTCACCTGATGAAGAGAGATAAATATATAAATGTGACTGATAATCGACAATTATATATCATATGTTAACCGATAAAATCCACGAGCTATCGAATAAAACGTGGTATAGAAAAGTGATAATGTTTTTATCTAGGGCGCCCGGACAACAAGTCATCGGCATCCATTAACATCTTAGCAATTGTAAAGCAAGTTCCGCTCCCTACCAGACAGTTAGCAGATGTCTCGAAGGAAAACTACATACATATATGAAAAATGTGCGTGTAAAACAGTTTCAAACTTATAATGCTATATCAATATCTATACAACTAAAATTGACGATGTGAACACTGAACATAACTTTTTGGTAAAGCTGTGAACATACCTTTTTGGTACAAAAGTCGAACATGTGAATAAGCTCGTGAACAAGAATGCCTTGTACCACGTTCTCCTTTCGAGCCACGTTCTGGCACACAACAATCTGCAATGGAAGGGACATACCATGTCGGCAGGGGACACACCCGCCAAAGGCAGTCAGTGCAACGAAACGGGTCATTTTCGATAGATAGAAGATAATCGACTTCAGTCGGGATCCCTAACATGAATTTTATGCCTTTATTTTACTTTTGCGCTTCTCATATAATACTGATTGGTTATGCTTATTTTGGATCCACATTGCACATTAAGCGCCGAACATGTAACTATTACAGCTGTTGATTTGAGTCATGCATTAGCCTAGACAAAGCAATTATGCACACTGTGTAAATACGAGCACATATGGACCCCTACGGTCCTACCTGGTTTGTTGAGGGGTCGTACCCTCCTGTGACGATGTGCTCGCATGTCTCGCAAGAGACATTTCTGCTCATGTCCACCGGGCTGGGGAAGAGCCGAGATAAGAAAAATGAACAGCAAAAAGGTGACTAACTACTAGAATAAACAGCATGATTAAATAGCATACAAAAATTATAACCAATTTCTCACTACCATGTGTAGGGGGGTCGGATGGACCCCCCCCCATGGTTTTTCGCGAATAACTCGCGTAAAAAGCGGCCGATCGCGACGAAACTTTAAGTACCCTCACATTGATCAATTTTACACCTACCCTGAAAATTTTATGACCCTGACCCTAATGAACTTTGACCTGTGACCTCTTTTCCCAGACCATGTTTGGCCGGAATCGCGATTCCACGTATGTCGGCTCGCATTAGCCGCGCGTTTGCAAGCTTTTCGTGGTTTCAAACGTTCAAACATGTGATTTGATGTTGCTCCCATGCATTAGGGTGGGTGCCAAGGTCACCTGAAGGTCAGGTCAGGTCACTGACCTTTGGTGACCTCGGTTCACTTTTTCGAGTTTTACATGTTTCTAGGCTAGTTTTTGGAGCTGAATTCGAATTTAGCAACCATTTGAACATTTACGAAGTAGTTTTGGTACCTTCGTAACATGTTACGAAGCTGTCAGAGGCGGTTGACACGTAATACGAATACCCGTCACGACGCCTACTGGTTGACCTGACTTGACCTGACCCGACCTGGTATAAATGCTTAAAGACATCATCTGTGATCAAAACTAACACGATATTCGTGATCAGCACCCCGAAAAAAACCCTTAGCAATCACACTTTACGACTTTATAACACAGGTCCCGATTTTCCCGACCTTGGGTCATTGACCTGACCTGGAAGGTCAACCAATGACCTAGGACCTTAAAATTGGGTATCATCGGCTTCCTCTCGTCACGGGCAACACGCTCGTTTTTTCCGCGTAGCTCTAGCTCGATCAGGGGCCAAGTGCTTTAGCATATAAAGTATATTTCGGAAAAGGTTTCTCATTCAGGCCGAAAACAAACCACGTTCCAAATGTGTGGCTTATTCGTACTGGTCTGTAGCTAATTGTTAAACTGAACAGAGATCGCCTTGCGAAATAAGTTCATTTGCTTAGGCTATTTTTTCACGACGGTGAGCATCCGGTTATTACGCGGACAGATGCGGTAAGCGCGGACAGAGTATTAAAATGCGGACAGAATACAAAAGCGATTAGCTGTAGGTACATACTTAAGACAATTGACGATGGGGCCATGGGCCTAAACCGTTATAACGAACCAAAATAAGAACAATTTGTAACAATTAATGAAACCAACAGCCAACCAGACGGGTCAATTTAATGCATCCCGTTGGGCTATTCCCGGACGCAGCCACCCGTTGGAGGGGGGGGGGGGGCGTTTTGCTCACCTTATGAGTTCGGAAAGTTAACATTCGAACGGCGTTCGATAGCCCCACCGGGGAACCACCATTTAACCAATTTTCATTGATCTAGGTGCAGCCGATGACGTCACAGGTCAGGTCAAAGGCCGCATTTTTACCGTTTACATGCCTTCTAAGAAATGCTTATAACATCGAGTAAAAAGCATACTATCGAAAACCATCGATATAGGGTTGGTTGCCTGACTGAGGTCAAATTATGCTATTTCAAAATTTCCAAAATGTTGCCAAAATGAGGTCACTGATACCAGGTTAGCTCACAGAGGACAAGTGACTAAGGGTCAAAATATGAATCACACTATACTAAGGTAGTGTGATTCATGTTTTATGGCCAATTTTACATTTAAAAATGAATGGTGTGGGTTAGGCGAAAATTAAGGCCAGTTAAGGTTATGTTCTGGTCAGGGGCGCAGCCAAGCGGGGGGAGGGGCATACTGGGCTTAACCCGCGCATGGCTGGGGTATTTTCCACGACGCGAGTGACTGGGGGGGGGGGCTCTCCAGAGCCCCCCCCCCCCATCTCCGAAACTACTGGCCGATCGTCAAAATTCAAACGGCGTCTGATAGCCCTGGAAAAACTGTCGAGCAAAACCTATTTTCATTGACCTCAACGTCACCGATGACGTCACAGGTCAGGTCAAAGTAAAAATTATCAGCATTTTCGCTTGTTTACAATTTAGACTCTGACCGCCGGCTGACAAGTCCGATCAGGCTAACTTTTGGTTTATACCCTCATGAACAGATGCTCTAGATACCCTGAGGGTACCAAACTTGTACTTTGATTTTCAGGTCAGGGTCAGGTCATCACACGTCACGGAAATATTATATCATGCGTTGGTCACGTGACACATGTTTAATGGTTCATTTAGGCCATAGATTTCGAATTTGATGTCGTTTGTGTCATACGAGGTCATTTTGAGTTGAATTTAGCTTAGGTCAGGTTACTTTCAGGTCAAAAAGGTCAAATTTTGAAGTTTCAATTTTTCAACATAAAAGGTGTTTTTTTGGATGCAATTTGAGCTCAGGAACACGATGGTGCTATTTATATTGGTGTACGATGTCAAATGCGTACTGAAAAATTGATTTGAAAAATGTATAATTGTGATTTTTTTTTGCACCGATGGGACCCTCAGAAGCCAGTAGGAGGCCGTTGAGCCCGGAGGAGGCCCTAAGAAGGACTTTCCAAGTGGCCTCTATACCAAAGATCCACCAGAGGCCCACCAAAGATCTACGCCTGAGCCTTCAGAATCGGCAATGAAAGACCGCAGTTTCACAAGCGCCGGGCTGATGGCCCTCAGAGGTCGGTTTGGGTCCTTCGGAGGTCGGAAGCTAGCGTGGGATCCCTTCTTAGAGTTCAGTGGGACTTCTAATCAGAATCAGAATCAGGATATATGTAAAAGTCATCCAGCCAATCACTGGTTTTTTTCATGTGCTCGCGTCAACAATATGGGCAAAAGACACTTAACCGGTAAAAGACACGATATGGGTAAATTAAAAGACACTTAAAACATGTAAAACAAAAGTGGACGTGCTAAGATCACAATAAAAGCTCCTCTGCGTAGGGGAGAGTGGGGCAAAGCGGCCACCCTAACGCTTCGCACGATGCCAACGCCTCATTTTTAAACTTGGAAAGATTCTTTCTATACCAATGTGATCCCTATTAAGTTGCCTTTTATTTCAACTGCGTTTTATTTCCAAAGGCGTTCACATATGAACGATATTGACAAAACTTTAAACCTACGCATATTGGCCACTTTGCCTCATACCCTGGGGCAAAGCGGCCACCGGCGTCTTCTCAAGTCCCGATATGAGAAACAAAATAGTTGCCTCGTGTACGACTAGGGTATTTGATGATGACAAGGTTAAGCGAGGATGGATGTTTACTTTATCATCTTCCATCTGTAGGCAATCAAAGAAAGGATTTTTATGAAAAAAAAACATTTAATTGCATTATTTGGTAACTCATGCAACTGAAAAGTGGCCAAGACGAATGCATGACGACACATTTGAATATAAATAATGTTTTTTATCCAGATGGAAGCAACTTATGGCCAATTGGGGGGTGGCCACTTTGCCCCGGCCACTTTGCCCCGCGCATAGGATACAAAAATATTCCAGTTTAGCTATTAGTGGGGTAAAAAACATTAAAATTGGTAGAATACATGTACGATAACCATGCAATGCATGGACAAGAACGCTTATAAAAATTCCAAACGGTTATGGAATAACATAACATTTAAAAATTGTCAACATAGTTGGTAACCTGGCAAGAAATGCTTTTCCGTGTTTCACAGAACAATGGTGATGGGCCTGAAACCCCGGTCTGGCTCAGTCGAACGACCGTGAAGAGAAGTATAATTGGAAACCATAAATTGGAACTGACGCCAGCTATGAAGGGCTAAAACGATGGGTGGCCGCTTTGCCCCGGGTGACCGCTTTGCCCCACTCTCCCCTATAAGTGAGCCCTATCGAAATCGACATATTATAACCTATATTATAACCAGGGTTGGCATTTCTGCCGGCAAAAACTAGTTTATGTCATTTGCCGGTTTAAACCGGTTTTAACCGGCAAAAAGTGGCAAAAACTGGCAAAAACTAAGAAGTATAACAATGCTATGCCTTGACATGAATTTGAACATGAAATATTTGAAGGAGAATTTGGTGAAAGCTTTATGCTTTCAAACAGAAGTGAAAAAGTGAACAGAAGACCATTGAAATGCTTCATACCTAACTCAGAAACATTTTCATGGACTATCCATAAGGAGCTAGTAAGATGCCTTTTGGGGGTGACAAATGAGCCAGTGCAAGGGTGACTGGGTGAATCCTGCACCATCAGAAGTGCGAAGGGGCATCTGCCACTGATATGCGCACGACGGCACCGCATGGCACCCTACTTACCGTGGCCGCCTTACCCCACTCTCCCCTTACATGGACATACATTCCGTTGTGGATGTCTACCGACATGCATAGACAGTTTAAAGGGACTATCCCACCTTCTAAAATGTTGTTAAAACCAGTTAAATTGTGCACGACTTTATAGATTGGATGACCAGGAACACGGTTCTGGCATTTATTTTTCATTAAACATCTTAGGCTTCCCATATTCCAAACACAAACTTTCAAATATGTGACGTCACAGCCCAAAATTACCTCCTTCCCCAGGCCACATTACTGTCATAAAGCTGATTCTTTTTACTCTGTAGGCACCACAACAAAGTTCAGACCAAGTTTTAAGCGATTTTTCAACGAACAAACCCATTTAAATCAGAATGACTAAACCAGGTGACGTCACACTAACGGTCCCTCCATGTTGAAGATAGGGCCTTGTACAAGGCTCATTTTCAAATGAAGGGAACGAATTTCTTCAACACCAAGAGGCCGCGGGGGTTGCAACCTAGATAGATAGTGGTTTCTGAACCTCGCCGCAAACTTGGCTATCTCAACTCAAATCCCATGTTAAAGGTGGGATAGTCCCTTTAAGCAGGGATAAGTAATGAGGCAACTTCAGAATGTTTAGTGCATCTACATAACTACCAGAAATACATTTGTACATTTCAAATCCATTCCTAACCAGAAAAGTTGTAGGTTTGGCCATCTGAGTTTTAGCCAGTTTTTGCCAGTTCTTGCCACCAGGGTTTCTGCCAGCCGGTTTAAACCGGTTAAAACCACTGGCAAAAACCAGTTTTTGCCACCCCCTGCCAACCCTGATTATAACCTATTGTATAAACATTTTAGGGGAAAACGCACGTGGAATCATTCGTGCTTTTTAGCTAGCGCTAACGAACAAGTAACATTTCAAGGAACCTTGGTCAACAAAAAGACGTATAATAGATCCGAAACGAAAATACCCGCTCCCTAGTTTATTGTTGGTGCTAAACATGAATATCGTACCAAAAAGTTGCATCGGACTAGATATTTGAGATAGGTTGTGTGACGACGCCATTCCCATCCCCTACATATATGTGCGTTCACCGCCGCCCCGTGCTCAAGTACGTACTTCTTGACGGTCCTTCTGAACGCCGATATGCGGGTCTCCCTAATGTCGCGCGGCATGGCATTGAACGCGCTGGCGGCTAATGAGCCTAGGCGCGGCCCTCAAAAGCCCTAGGTCACTTTAACGGCACTTGAACATGTCACAGACATTTGACCACAGTTCAAAAAGATCCCGGCCCAACCCCGGAATTTTCGAGCTTGGTCTTGGCATTAGAATTTCGTGTCAGCGTACCAGACCGGTCAAACCCAAGTGTAAAATTCAGCTAAATCTAACTAGAAATGGATCAAATAAAAAAGTGACATGCCCGAGACTGGAGTCAAGTCCTGAAGATTTTGGAGTTTTTCGACTCAACCCCCCCCCCCCCTCCCTCCGTGGCGACGTTAATGCCTCAGTAAATATAAAATTGATAACTCTGGCAACAACAGTTTACTATTAGAAATAGAAAAGGTGCAGGAAATAGAAAAGGTGAGGGTGGCATCAGCGGCCAGCAAGAACCTACTCTACTCTCAAAGTACTCACCAGCCCGAAGCTTTCAAAGCAGCTAGCATTAGCTTGACTCCATGACCTGGAAAAGTGTGACATGGGCCTCGTTTCACAAAGCGATTCCGTAACTTACGCCGTTTTTTGGTCTTGTATTGCAAGTGCATGTGAAGCGATGGCGATAGTTTGAATCGTTGAATTTATTTATCTTGCAAGGAAGAACAGAAGGCAGAAGGAGAAATGAATTTATCGCTTCACATGCGCTTGTAATACAAGCCCAAAAATTGACGTAAGTTACGGACTCGCTTTATGAAACGAGGCCCAGTAGGCATTAGGCATAAATTATACATTGGGAACAGTGGCGGGTGGTTACTTCGAGAACTCCCATCGATAGCGATTATCGAAGTCGTTATCGACGACAACGTTCTTTCAAGCTTATCGTTATTCATTATTGTTATCGAAGTAGCGTTATCGAAGTCCCAGTTTCGGTCAATCGATAACGATAACTTCATCAAATACCTACGACGTGAACGTATTAAAGGGAATAGTTCACCTTCAACAGCAGTTTTGTAGATTGAGCACTGAAAATGTTATATGGAGCGTCTTTTGGCCCTTCAAGCTCTGTCGCCAAAGATATTAAAGTTTTCGATGAATGTTTTCCTTATTCAAGGAATATTTAAGGAAATAAGTATCATTTAGAAGCTGATTTCCTTCAAATATTCAATCCTTTCTATTTTTCTTTTTTGAAGTTATCGTTACCTTTATCGCGTTATCGATGTAACCGATTTGGTTATCGAATTATCGTTATCGAAGTCGCCGACCTCGAAAAAGGTTATCGAGTCATCGTTATTTAAGTCTGGGTCAAGTTACGAGTTTGAAGTTACGAGAAGAAGTTACGAGTTTACCACCACTGCTCTGGAAGTGACCGCAAAACATTCCAAGATAACCACAGCCTGCTTTGCTAACTGGAATACCAGTGCCATATAGTAAACAGCACCTGCCATTAGCTACTTGTATTGTAATATTGTAAAAAGTTTACTTACTTTTCTTAAAACAGTTGTAAACATTTTTCTCACAAGTTATTTGGTCACTGAGATTCTCTCCCTCATGTAGGAAGAAATGTTCCCAGACACTGGGCTTGTACTTGCCACCTTGTCTTTCAGGATATAAGTCATATCCATAGTCAACTTTTGCACTGTTATCTGAAGCCCTCTTGTCATCACCAGCTCCTGTTTTCTTTTCAGCAGGTGGTGTTTTTAAATCATGTGGCTCACTCTTCACACATTTATCCTTATCACTATCTTGAGGAACCTCACTACCATATTTTTCATCACTTTGGGGCATAGCTTCACAGGAAACCTGCAAGAAGGAAATGCACTACCAACAGCCAGCACCTATGACCATAAAATCCTGAAGACTGTGCTGAAACATGAGCAGCATACAATGTACCTTGAATTTAATTGTTGGCAGTGTTGGTGCCAGTGTAGTAATTTCACACAGAAACATTATAAGCATTCATGTGTTGTCCCACTTCTCAAGCCTAAAAAAGGGTGTTCCTTAATCATTCCAATTCCTTTGATTTTTTTATTTTGTGAATTCCTGCAGTTCTCACTTCTCAGGGTCAACTGAAGGCAGGGATAATGCTGAATATGGTACCCAATGATGATGGTAGGTACCTATGCCAAATGCCATTTTTTAGTTTTAACCCTTAGCAGGCCAGGGGGTTTGATGTAACCCCTTAAATTTTTCAGACAGCATAAAAGTAGTGGTGAGTAATGCTGTTAAATTTGGCATATCCAGTGACCTATTGGGTATCTTGCTGACATGTTCTCTGCAAATTTCAAGTCCAATTCATTCTAGGTCAGGTCAACAGGTCAAAAAATGGCATGTAGCCTGCGTGCAATTTAAATCATTAAACAGCATCAAAATTACAAAGTTCTTCAATAGCAAAGTAAGGATGCTACCACACATTACCACCAAATTTCAGACACTCTTTAGGGTATCTATTTGACACGTCCTGTAACTCAGACCATTAGAGACTCCTGAGTCTGAGTGACTTCCTGTCAGGGTACAATGTCACAAAAATCAGTGCACATCATAACAGCACTGAAATCACTTTTAACATTCTACTATAGCATTCTGCATCACCTAGATTCAAAGTTGCAGGATGCACTTAGCTCACCGAGTGTCATAGACTCAAAACATTTTCAAATGGCTCAAATTGTGCAAATATGAGTAATGAATGATCTGCTCCAAAAATAAAATAAAAAATTGATGCATGAAATAATTTGAGAATTTCAGCTGGTAGACAGCTGAGCTTGACCTTTCAAGGTCAAGCTCACAGCTTGACCTTTCTTCTTTCCAGGTCAAGCTGTCATTTGAAAATAAGGCAATTTTGGATAAATGACTCCAGGGCCCTGTTTCATGGCGGAGCGCTGCAGTGCGCTGCGTGCGTCAGCACATTGGGTTTCCATGGCAATATCAACAAACTTCCCTCTGACGCTACGCTATGTCATCACAAAACGCTAGCACCCCGGCGGCCGGCGCCAGCACCATCCGCACGCTAGCAGTATTCGCACTCAAACTTCTGTTCAATTGGTACGAGGTTCTTCAAGGTCTCTGTTCCAAACGCGATTTACCATAAGCTAACGGATCTCACGCAGCGTCATTCAAGTGACGTCAGGAGTATGCCTCAGCTCTCAGCGCACTGCAGCGCGCACAGCGTCGGGCGGTGAAACACGGCTCAGATTACATCTTCATCAGAGGGCCCTGCCTTCCCGCAATCCTGATCCCCACACTGACGCCGGACGCGTTTCACTGAATAAATCTGAAATTTAAAAAGATAACAACTCCGAAATCAGATCAGCACAATAACGACCTTTGAAGATCAAGCAGTCATTTGAAAATAATGCAATTTTGGAATTAATGACTTTGGATTGATCCAGCCCATAAAATGTGTATTGACAGAATACAATACAGCTCTATTCGGTTGCCGTTTTAATGCTACCGTTTCTCGAATTATCATTGGCTGAATTAACGTGACCCAGCTCTCCACCAATGCAAAGCGAGAAATCCAAGCAACCCCACGTGACTTCCATTTATGGCAAAACCGGCAAAACATGCAGAATATCAAGAGTCAAGTCTAAAAACTATCGCCCGAGCGCTGTTCGGCAGCCGGCTATTTTGTGTGCAGGGTATGACGTATTTCGCGAGCCGACGTCACAGGCGGTGACGTCGGCTCGCGCGCGAGCCGAGCGCCAACGACAAACTAACGGGAACCCTCGGACACCCTCGGGGCATAAACCGCGGAGTAGCATATTGAGCGAGTCTTATAAGGAAAATTCATATATTTTCGTTTCTAAAATGATAATCAGGGTGTCTCTTACCTTTTTACATATTATTTAGGCTTACCTAACACTTCAGTTGCCAAATATCTGCAATTTATTCAAGCGCAGGTATTTTCAGTAAATATCAATGGTATAGACCGAAATCTTTTGAATAAAAACTCCAACCAACAGAAATAAAAATAACTTAATTTATTCCAACCATTTCCTCCAAATAAACAACATAAAAACTCACTTTTACACACATCATTCATAATAAAGCATACTAACACGCCGCTTTCGACAATTGCGGCGTCGAGTGGCGCGCTGCTAGCGCTCTTTTTCGATCGCAGAGACCCTGCACGCGCGCGAGCACACTACGTCACGTCCGGGGGGCACAGGTATATGAAAAATCGCAGTGACGTAACACTTTTCTCGCTTCTCATTGGTCAATAGCCCGTTGCCGGGGTAACGTGCACGTATGTGAGCGCGGGCAAGAGTACTAGCCGGCCGCCGATCAGGGCTCCGAGCCCTGATCGGCGGCCGGCTAGTACTCTTGCCCGCGCTCATATACGTGCACGTTACCCCGGCAACGGGCTATTGACCAATGAGAAGCGAGAAAAGTGTTACGTCACTGCGATTTTTCATATACCTGTGCCCCCCGGACGTGACGTAGTGTGCTCGCGTGCGTGCAGGGTCTCTGCGATCGAAAAAGAGCGCTAGCAGCGCGCCACTCGACGCCGCAATTGTCTAAAGTGGCGTGTTAGTATGCTTTATTATGAATGATGTGTGTAAAAGTGAGTTTTTACGTTGTTTATGTGGAGGAAATGGTTGGAATAAATTAAGTTATTTTTATTTCTGTTGATTGGAGTTTTTATTCAAAAGATTTCGGTCTATAGCATTGATATTAACTGATAATACCTTCGCTTGAATAAATTGCAGATATTTGGCAACTGAAGTGTTAGGTAAGCCTAAATGATATGTAAAAAGGTAAGAGACACCCTGATTATCATTTGAGAAACGAAAATATGTGAATTTTCCTTATAAGACTCGCTCAATATGCTACTCCGCGGTTTATGCCCCGAGGGTGTCCGAGGGTTCCCGTTAGTTTGTCGTTGGCGCTCGGCTCGCGCGCGAGCCGACGTCACCGCCTGTGACGTCGGCTCGTGAAATACGTCATACCCTGCACACAAAATAGCCGGCTGCCGAACAGCGCTCCGAACAGCACTGGTGATGAGCGCGTTCGCACTTATGCTTGCAAAATGACGTCATGAGCTCTAAATCATTGGAGCAAGTTGTGCTGTTCAGTTCAGTGACTCTAGTATTAGCTAATGAATATTCGATCAAGGTTGGATTTTATTTTTACGGTACAAACTCGGGGCGGTGTTTCACGGGCTGCTGCTACCACGCTGCTATCAAATTGCGCGAGCTGACGTCACACTTGTGGTAGTGTTGGAGCAATGGGCCTGTTGATGTCTCCATGGAAACCCAATTTGACAAGTCGTAAAATCGGCGTGCTGCTATCACCGGTGAAACGGGCCTCTGATTTTTTTTCACTCCCTGCAAACCTTGACTTAGCTTACAGCGTGCCATTGGTGCCATTCCAATTCGATGATGTCACGGTTACATTCAGCTGACTATGTTCATTGACCAAAGGACCAAATTGAGGCTTGGCGAATATTGACGAAAACAGCGCGGCAGCCAAGCGGCAGCAGGCGGTTACAGTTAAGCTCAGGCTACACTATCAGCGTTTTTTCGGTTTCTGCGTGATTTCGGTTTCCGCGTTTTTACGGTTTCTGCGTTTTTTCGTTCCGGGCGGCCGCCGCGTGGACGGTGTTGTTGATAGCATAGTGATGGATAAGTGATCAACTTAATTAATTATATATGTTAAATATTATCGTGTTTTAACAAAATTATAATTAAATAATTGTTTTAAAGATTTTACAACTAACAAGAATATGTTTTCGATCATAATCATTTGTCAGCTTAATTACAATTATCATATTTGAAGTAGAATGATGAGGTTTGAAACACATCTTGTCTTCTTTAATCATGAATTACACCATTTTCATTATTTACATTTGAAACTGTTCCATCGTCACAATGTTATTAGCAACAATCACTTCTAATCATTCATCACTAAAACGAAATCCCGCAGAAACCGAAAAAAAGTTCACAGCTCTGAACTTTTTTTCGGTTCCGACTCGTCGGTTTTTGCGGTTTTTCGTTCCACGGGACGCCAGACTGGCAGTGTAGCTTGCGCAATGCATTCGTTATGAGGCGTACTTCACGACGCGAACCGAAATCCCGCAGAAACCGAAAAAACGTCGGAATTCATGCTAGTGTAGCTTAGGCTTTAGGGTGGATGGTGAGTGGTGTTTTAAGGTGATTTTTATTTTTTTAAGACACGTCTGAACTTTTTGGACATTGTTTATCACTCAACCAGTGTTCTATACCTACACTGGTTCTATACCTATACGGCTATACCATGACTTAGCCTCTCGGCTACATGGCTTATCAATAAATAGGGAGATGGGGGCATCCAGTGATCCATTTGTGCCACAGTTAAAGTTCATATCGAGGCCAGTAGTTCATACTTTGGTTCATATTTGCTAGGTATATGCCACAGCAGATTTTGTAGGTCAAGATCTTCAGAAGATGAGGTTGTAGGTAAGGTGAGGTCAGGTTTCATGATGTTTTGTTATATATTTACTGTGAAAAGACTAATGTGCCATATTATCATGAGACATGGGCCAGGTGGCTTTACTGCAAATCAGGTTATCATTAGTTATTATCCTGCTCCTGTAGGTACTGTGCACAAGCCATTCCTACTGCGTCTATCATCAGCTGTTGCATACAAGCCCAGAAGCTTACAAGGGTCTGGCTTAAATGAATATGTTTTTGTTTTTCTTAGCTGATTGAAAGAAAAATAAATGTTAAATGAAAAATAAATAATAAAATAATAATATATAATAAATAATAATAGAATAATAATAATATAATAATAAATAATAAAAAAATAAATAAATGAAAAAAGTGTTTGCCTGGTCTTAAGGCAAACCTGACAACCATATTTCATTTTTCAGGTTCATACAATCTTATTCATTGTCATTGAATACTGCCAGCCCAGCAACCTGACAGATATGCATCACACTTACTAATACATTCATGCTCATAGGCTATTTTGCAGTCACTTATAGGTGATGACCTATGTAAATTGATATTTGTTTTATATGATGCTACATTAGGTACCTACCTACTATCATATTTATATTTATTATATCTTGCTCTTCATAGCATCTCATGGTTCACAGAATATTTCTGTTAAAGAAAGCTGGTCACATTTTGTCAGAAAACATTGGCTTGTACAATGCAAAAAATCACAATTCATTCATCTTTGATGTTTTGAATGCTTCAAAATATGCTGAATCAAAGAAATTGTTTGCCTATTTTTCAACTAGCCATGTGTGGCAATCCAGTACATCTCACAAACGCACTTCATCTGCAAGTGTTCCTCCTGAGCGGCCGCCGGGCGCTGGATGTCCCCCGAATGACCCGACCGGCCAGCCGGAGAGCGCCTCGGCCGACGGCGGCGACGACGCCCGGCAGCCGCCTGAGCCGCCCACCGTCTGCTGCATGTCCGGCTGCGCCAACTGCGTCTGGATCGAGTACGCCGAGCGGCTCGCCGACTACTACGCCGACGGCGGTGACGCGGCGCGGCGCGCCATCCGCGAGCACGTACAGGACCCGAGCCTGCGAGCGTTCCTGCTGCTGGAACTTAGGACCAGATGATGACCCATCCCAGCCCCATGCACAATGTGGCAAGAGCGATGGTGGCAACAGCCGTTCGAGATAAAAATATACAGAACATGTTTGTTCCTGACTAAAAACCGTAGAAGGCAGTGTGCAGCGTATGCACCCAACTTTCTTAACACCATTGGATTGTTACAAGGACTTGTACTGTAGACACAGCTCCATTCATACTGCGGCCCGCGTCGAAATGCGCGCCGCGCGAATCGCTAGTGCCCGTAGTTCGTAATGTGTAGTGAAATTTGCTCGAAATGTGAATTGCCCAGCCGGTGAAATTTTAGTTGGATGTACGATTGAAGTGAAGCGTCTTCGCGTATACATGATAACGTGCTGAAATGACTGTTCATAGGTTGCCTGTGATACCAACGCCGGAGCGAGAAGCCATGGAACTTCTGTTGTGGTGCTGTTATGCTGCCGGATTGTTGCAATATTCAGTTCGAATTAATTATGAAATTTTTCTTCAATATATTTTATAATGGATATTGTGGTTCTGATCACGCGGATTGAACTAAATAACCAGTCGCTGGCCTGGCTGTATTAGTAAGGAAGTAACACGTGGGTTCCGGACAAAAAGTCAAATGATAAAAGGTAAAAGGATGATTAGTCAACAGATTGTCTGTCAGACATAACGTCAAAAGCAAGAATCAAAAATCTGAAAAGTCAATAGGTGAAAGGTCAACAAAGAGGAAAGTCAAAAGACAAAAAGTCAAAACGGACAAAACGTCAAACGATAAAAAGTTAAATTGCCAAAAAGTCAACGAACAAAAAGTCAACTAGCATAGAAGTCAAAAGACAAAAAGTCAAATGGACATAGGGTCAAAAGACAAAAAATAAAAACGGCAAATAGTCAAATTGCCAAAAAGAAAAAAGTACCTACAAAAGTCGAAAGACAAAAAGTCAACAGGATATAAAGTCAAAATCCAAAACATCAAAAGAACAAAAAGTAAAAAAAAACAAGTCAACAGGATATAGACAAAATAAAAAGTCAAAAGGACAAAAAGTCGAAATCCAAAAAGTCAAAAGGATTAAGGTAAAGGGACATAAAGCCAAAATCAAAAAGCCAAAGGTCAAAAAGTCCAATAGACATATAGTCTAAAGCCAAAAAGTCAAAAGACAAAAAATCAAAGGAACAAAAAGTCTGACAAAAGTCAAAAGACGAAAAGTCAACAGGAGATAAAGTCAAATTACGAAGAATGAATCCATGAAAAGCAGTGGCGCCGGAACCGAGGGGGGGGGGGGGACTGCGTGAGGGGGAGGGGGGAGCCCCCTCCAGCTTTTCGGCTGGGGGGGGGCTCGTAATGTAGTTGAGCCCCCCCCCCCCCCCAGCTGGAGGAATCGAAATCGGAAATCTACCAACAAATTTCATAGATTCATACATAGGCGCGGGAACCGGGAGGCAGTGGGGCCGTGGGGGCGGTGCCCCACAACTTTTCATAAGGCCAGGAACCGTTCGGGCAGCTTGTCCTCCCCAAATTAGGGGTCGTGGGTCACAAAGGAAGAAAGCATGTAAGTGAAAATCCACCTGTTTCACTGGGTGGGCAACTCATTTGGCGGATAAAACTTTTATTCCAGGTTGCCAAAACGGTAGTTTCTTCACTCAGCTGAGACGGGATATCTCACTTTTTTGCAAAGTTTTTTCGTTGAAAAGGCCAAGGTGTGAAAAATAAGTTACCTAAAATCGTTGAGAAAACTAGTTTTGGGGGTACCCTACTGATCTCTATTATGGTGAGCCCCCCCCCCACACACACACACTATGGAAGAAGTTCCCGCGCCACTGATCGCATGAGAGGGTATCAGTAAAATTTGACTATCTCGGAATTTTGATATCGGTGACCTAAGATCAGGTCAATTCTGTGACCTCTCCATTATAAGTCAATGGGAGAAAATTGAGATAGGTAATCTTCTTTTAGCCGAAAACACCCTCAAACATCGGAGCAGAGGTGAACACTGAACATGACACACTGAACCGGAAAATTGCACCTGTGACCCTATTATGCCCCTGAGGTTATCTCAGGTCATCAACAGTTTTTCTTCAAAGTCTTCAACAGTTTTTGTTGAAAGTCTTCAACAGTTTTTGACAATAACTTTAGATAGAAACATGCTACAGCGCTGAAAACCATAGACGGCGGAACGGGAGGGGGGTGGGGCACCGGGACACCGTGCCCCCTTTGATTTTGGCATTTTAACATTAGCGCAATGGGCGTTGCATGGAAAGAATGGGATCAAAAGTCGCCAGTGCCCCCCCCCCCCCCCCCCACTACTTGAAGGTGTTCCGCCGCCGCTGAAAACACCATGAATGTATTGAGCTCAACAATACGAATCGAATGGCATGCAACATGACTCTTTCCTTGACCTTAACCTGAGGTCAAATTTCCAAATTCACCTTTTCAGGTCAACTTATTGTTCATCAAACACGTCTCAACGAGACAAACGCGATGCCGGTAAAGTCGGCGTAATACAAGCTTGGAGTCGGAAGTTATACAGAAACCTTTTCCGCAAAAATGTCAAATTTCGAGTTATTGCCCTCTGGAAGCTAAACCGTTGAAACCTGAGAACAATACCTACTCAGGAAGACCTTTCAAAGAGCTATCGAAAGCGTTTTTGCACAGCGCTGTAGCTCTATTGGTTCCCGGCCTATCCGCCAGTTTATGAAAAGTTGTCAAAATCGGGAACAAAAATTCGTGAAAATTTTACCTTTGGTAACCTCCCAAGGACCTCAGCGATGACCTGATAAAAATGACCTTTACGATTCTGAAAGATCTCATAGCAAACTACCTATTACTTTTTACTGCGTCTTTCTTGCTTGCTTATTTTCCGAGACAACCTGGTGTGGCCAAACAGCCCCCCCCCCACCCCCCACCATGGCGAAGTTGGCGGAGGGAGGGGCCCACCCGGGCGCGGGTTAAAGTGACCATCCCACGTTAACATTAGTTTTGAGTTGAGATAGCCAAATTGGTGGCCATGGCCTGCAAATACCGGTTTGGGCACTCACAACATCATGCTTTAATTCGGAGATATGGAATTTCAAACTTGCAGTTTTCGGATTCTAAGGGGCTAATGCATTGAGATGCCCCCTTAGAATTTGTGACGTCAGCGGTGATCTAACGATTTTAAAACCTTATACTAACATTTTTGCAAAGCAGAGGTGGTATATGCTATTTGCGCGCAACATCTGCCGCGAACGCCGCACTTCCAAAATGAGGTCGCTAGGAACAGCGGAGATCCCAAAAATGTAAACAATAGTAAAAGTCTAATATCTTGAACACCGGTGAATATTTTTTCGATGAAATTTGGTAGATATTCGTTTTTGCTCTTTCTGAACCGAGCGACATCACTCATGCCAATTCATTAACTTTTTTGAAGGTGGGAGGGTCCCTTTAACCCTCGCATGTGTAGGGGGGGGGGGGGTCGGATGGACCCCCCCATGGTTTTTCGCGAATAACTCGCGTAAAAAGCGGCCGATCGCGACGAAACTTTCAGTACCCTCGCATTGATCAATTTTACACCTACCCTGAAAATTTCATGACCCTGACCCAAATGACCTTTGACCTCTTTTCCGAGACCATGTTTGGCCGGAATCGCGATTTCGCGTATGTCGGCTCGCACTAGCCGCGTGTTTGCAAGCTTTTCGTGGTTTCAAACGTTCAAACATGTGATTTGATGTTACTCCCGTGTGTGTCAAGGTCACCTGAAGGTCAGGTCAGGTCATTGACCTTTGGTGACCTCGGGTGACCTCGGTTCACTTTTTCGAGTTTTACATGTTTCTAGGCTAGTTTTTGGAGCTGAATTCGAATTTAGCAACCATTTGAACATTTACGAAGTAGTTTTGGTGACTTCGTAACATGTTGCGAAGCTGTCAGAGGCGGTTGACACGTACTACGAATACCCGTCACGACGCCTACTGGTTGACCTGACCTGACCTGACCCGACCTGGTCTAAATGCTTCAAGACATCATCTGTGATCAAAACTAACACGATATTCGTGATTAGCACCCCGAAAAACCCCTTAGCAGCCACACTTTACGACTTTCTAACAGGTCCCGATTTTCCCGACTTTGGGTCATTGACCTGACCTGGAAGGTCAACCAATGACCTAGGACCTTAAAATTGGGTATCATCGGCTTCCTCTCGTCACGGGCAACACGCTCGTTTTTTCCGCGAAGCTCTAGCTCGATCAGGGGCCAAACGGCAAGGGGGGTCCAACCGACCCCCCCCCCCCCCCTACACATTAGAAGCTGGCAAACGCCGCAGACATGCGAGGGTTAACCCGCGCCCCAGTGGCGGTCTCAGCCAACTTCGCCCTAGTGAGGGGGGGCATATGTTACCACCCACCTCTAACTCAAAAACTAAGAGGGATAGAAAGACGCGGTAAAAAGCAGTCGATAGCTCTCAATGCGTACGTTTGAAAATATTTCGGTCATTTTTCATCTTAGAGCAATATTGGGGTCACCAGAGGTCATCAAAGGTCAAAATTTGCCAATGGTCATTATATTTTTCAGAAAACATGCGGTTATCTTAGGAACTATGGTAGCTAGAAAAACGCATGGAACAGCAATCGATAGCTTTTGAACTCTTCTTTTGATAAGGTCATTATCAAAATTGACCTCAGGTCAACGGTTTAGCCTCCAGAGGGCAAAAACTCCAAAAATAGCTGTTTTTACGAAAAGTGTTTTTCGACAATAACTTTCGACTACAAAAAGCCACAAAATTTCTATTGCCAGAATCGTGTTCCTCTCGCCGAGACGCGTCGAATGAACTATAAGTTGACCTTGAAAGGTCAACTTGAAAATTTGACCTCAGGTCAAGGTCATGACCTGACCGGAAAAGGTCATGTTGCATATCAGTCGATGCGTCTCGGCAAGACAAACACAATGAGACCATCCCCAGCGTTCTATCTCTTTCTAATCTTGAGTTATTGGCAAAAAACTGTTTGTAGCCTCAAATGACCTCGGATGACCTTTCTAGAGGCTATCAGCAAAAATGACACCTTGGTCATCACGGGTGGTCCAAATCATTGTGATTCTGAAATAGTTGGACTGTTCCTATGCGTACACACGGATCTAGAGGCATTTTCATTTTTCTCCATTGACTTGTAATGGAAAGGTCACGCCACTGACCTGACCTTAGGTCACGGATATAAAAAATCCGAGATATACAAATTGTAGGCGCCCATAACATCATCCAATCCACCAAGTTTAAAACCTTTCCGACAAACACTGCTGGCTGGACATGATTGCAAACTTTTTTTAGGCTTGGTCAGTTAACTTGACCTGGTGACCTGACCTGACATGACCTGGGGTCAAAAATTTCACACATTGTCCAAAATTGATGTACCAAAAGCTACCCCAAGCGGCGCGGCGCTACGCGCCGCGGTTTTTTATTTACACGCAAAAAACGCGACAGGGTGGTAACATATGCCCCCCCCCCACTGGGGCGAAGGTTAATTAAAGATGAGGTTCCTTACGCGATCGCACCGCTGT